ATTAAAGAACATTTACAACACCACAGGAATAGCTGATGCAAAGGTGGTATTAAAGAACACTTACAACACCACAGGAATAGATGCTGCAAAGGTGTTGTTAAAGAACATTTACAACACCATAGCTATCAATTAAACTATTTTAGTGTTTGTTTTCCATACTGTATTGGTCTCTTTCTTTGCAGATGAGTTGTTTCTTATAAATTTTTATTCAAAAAGTCCAGTAATTTCTCAGGTTATTACGATATACATAAATTATCCATGTTTACTTTGTGTTAAAAGCTAAAAAGGGATTGTTATTTATGTGGTGTTTTTAACAAAGCATAGCTTCAGTTCATGTAATCATTCTTGATGTATAATAATGTTTCAGCCTTTCCATTTACATGTAACACGTATTAGTTGTTGTCTGTGAAAAACAACTGCATCTTTATTTCATACAGGCAAACACTTTTTTTTTTTCTGCTGGAACTCTGAACAGTATATTGTTGTTCTACCTGTTCTTTAAGTACACGTAAAGTTGTCCACTTATGGAATAATGTCTGTGTTTTTCAGGAAAAATGGTTCACTCCATGGTTGCTCATCTGGATGCAGTCACTTGTCTGGCAATAGATCCTAATGGACTTTATCTTCTTTCTGGAAGTAAGTCAAACAATTATTGATGGCCTCGTGTGCTATTAGCTATGTTTTCTTGGAAAATTTAACTAAAAAAAATCTAAGTACGTAACTAAATGAAAGTAAAGAAATACTTATGAAGAAGTTTTTTTGATATTCCATAACAGTCAGTTCACCATCAGATTTATTTTATTATTATTAATTTTTTTTTATTAAAAAAGACAAGTTTTCTCAATAGCAGATTCTATATTCTTTGATACACTCTCTTTTACTTAAGTTTGAATTGGAGTTATAGCTGTCTCTCATCAGATTACTAGTTTTCCCTAAATATCTGCTCATTTTTGGTGGTACTTAAGCCTTTTGCTCACATAATACTGATTATAGGTAGTAGTTAGACTTTCTCATTCCAATATTCTTGTTTTGTACTTAAAAACATGATACTGGGTAGTTAAGAGACCTCTGGTAGCTCATGTGGTATGAGGGCTTATAACATTAAAAACTTGGGTTTCAGTACTTGCAGTGGGCACAGCACAAATAGCCCATTGTATAGCTTTGTGCTTAATAACAAATGAACAAGTTTGTAAGATCTTTTCAGTAACATAGTTAGTATGATTTATTAAAATTGCTTTTTATAGTGCTACAGTAGCTTTAAAAAATTCTGTATGTTAAACTAACATTTTACATTGACTTGGACTTGTAATCTAAGATAACTTCCATCTTTGTAAGATAGTCTAAAGTTTGAGAAAACTTGAGTTTCTAATGAAATATCCAGTCTGTTATTTCGTGACCATAAACTTAAAGATAAAAAAATTATGCTAATGGAATTAAGCTATTCACTAAGATGTATATGGACTACTTACCTAGGAAGTTGAATAAATTTTTGAAAGAACTGTTTTCATTTCAAGCATTATCCAGTTAATTTTCGAGCTTCCAATGCATATTGTTGAACCAAGTCTTTGTGGCCAAAGTATCTTTATTTCAGTATTAGTGTCACATTTGGCCAAATGTGCTACGTTTTCCAGGGGGGAAAAAAGTGTAAAACATTTTAAGAGTTTTGTCTGTTTCTCTTTCTTTTATTTTAATTTTTTTCACAAGCATATAATTCTTGATCTGTAACACCTCGTTAATGTTAACGGCTCTTCTCAAGGTAGGCCATTACAGTTAGAAACTTCAATAGCTATTAAGGCTTAGCTTGAATGTTTCATGTAATCTTTTACATTAATATTGACTGAAACAAGTCCACACAAGTTAAAAATAGGCCTAGAAAAATTTGGACACTGAGTGACCAGAGAGATAGAAACTGTGTTAGGTGACCTATAAACTTCACATTTTAAAATTCTGTATGATGAGCAGTTCTTTAATATATATAGTTTTTGTTTTTTTTACTATTTAGAGTCATAATTACAAGTTCATGATGATGATTAGTATGATGGTTGACATATGATTGATTTGCTACACCCAACTGTAATTTTTTTTTTTATATGTGGATGGTGGATGAACTGGTGAACAGACAGGTGAAGGATTTACTTTCTAACAAAATACATATGTTACATTTTTGTAATGTGTGAACATGCTCACCCTTTCAGCCATAGGGTCATTATAATGTGATGGTCAATTCCACTGTTTGTTGGTATAAGAGTAGCCCAAGAATTGGCAGTGGGTGTTGTCGATTAGCTGCCTTCCCTCTAGTATATCACTGCTTAAGTAAGGATGGTTAGTGCAGATAGCTCTTGAGTAGCTTTGTGTTAATAGTAAAACCAAACAACATTCTGTAAAGATTAGCTTGTAACAAATTCTTATTGTGATTCTTTCAAGAGAAGTTTTTAAACCATGGAAAGAATAGTTCCAACTTACAGATTCTGATTCTTTCTATAGAAGTTTTTATACCATGGAAAG